AAGAATGGGACGGGTCTGATGACCTTGCACTTTCTCATCTGTTTCTCTGTAAATTTAAAGTACAGAAATACACCTCTATACCAGCTTTGCCCACTCAGAACTATTAAGTGACCGAGCTCTTGACAAAGGGGAGACATGGGCTACATTGTTTTCAGTGTAGTCAACAACAAACCAGAGGCCTCATGACATTCCATTCAGTTCTTCTGTGTGCATGCTGCCCATGTGCAAGCAAGCCCACAAGTTGGTGGGCTTAGGAACTCAATGGGGTCAGTTTAGACTGGTCAAGGGGAAAGAGACCATAATAACTAGGAAATCAAATTCAGTAAATGAGGCTATTTGGAAGAGAACATAAGATATCTCAGCTTTTGTTGTCTTTCTATTTTGTATCACATAGGTTAGAAGAACTCTTTCATATATTTCCATCTTATTTCCCCAGCAAGATTGGGAATTCTAATATGTACTGCATGTATTGAAAAAGAACAGGGTTTTGCAGTCAGATAGCTTTATGTTTTTAATTTAGTACAGGCAATTAAGAGATCATTCTTCTTGCGCAGGTATCTTAACCTATCTAAGCCTCAATTTCCTTTGTTGTAAAATGGGGATAATCATACTAACCTTTCAGAATTGTTATGAGGATTTCAGGGGATATATGTACATAGCCTCACAAAGAGTTTGGTACTCAGCAAGCACTCAACAAGTCTTAGTTCCCTTTCTCCTTAAAGGTCTTTATCTGGTACAAATCTTAACCCAGTACTAACATATAATAAGGCTTGGAAATTTCCTCTTGGGATTATCTTGGGAGGCCATTCCTGGAGCTTTTTTGTGTACCCCTCTATTAGAATTATATAGGGACAACTCTGGCAAAATTCTAAGGCAGACAAAGAAACTTCACTGTTTCCTTGCCTTTCTTCTCTCCAGGCAATCCCTCCCTCCACTCCAAATATGCACACTGTCTGCCCTTTCTATGAAGGCCAAACTGGTAAACCAGTCATGGTAGAGTTTCAAGAACCAGAAGAATTGAATTTTAGGGTAGATGGTACTCCCAGTGCTCCTTGTTTCACAGCCTCCTGGGTCTACACATACAGCCATGTCTGAAGGAAATGGAGAGAGACTGCAATTCCTTCTGACTCTGGAAAAAACTCCAGATTAGAAAGGGCTGGATCCTCTTTAATAAGTGGTGCTGTGAAAACTGGACAGCTACATGTAAAAGAATGAAATTAGATCACTCTCTAATACCATACACAAAAATAAACTCAAAATGGATTAAAGACCTAAATGAAAGGCCAGACACTATAAAACTCTTAGCAGAAAATATAGGCAGAACACTCTATGACATAAATCACAGCAAGATCCTTTTTGACCCTCCTCCTAGAGAAATGGAAATAAAAACAAAAAT